ACTTTTTCTTTTGTATTTATCTTCTGAAAACTTGTCCCTTTTCATCGTGACTGTATCATCATGAGTTTCATCCTTTTAATGTAAGATAACCCTGAAATTAATGAAATGAGTTTAATTGTATAACTTATTAGGGTTCTGATGACTGGGATAGGCGTGTGATAGTTCGCAGGAGAGAACTGGTCCCTGAAGAGGAAGCAAAGCTGCCATGGCATAAACCACCTTTAGAAATGTACAGACGAGTCACAGAAGCTATACATGGTTTAGATATGATAAAGGCAAGTAATGTTACGTAATTTCAGATCTTCTACTGTTTTTTGACTCATAGGTGATATAATCTATGGTGTAAATTTTCAGGAAGGTGACAAAATTCTAGTCTGTTTATCTGGCGGAAAAGATTCGCTCTCTCTATTGCATATTCTCCATTTTTATCAAATGAGATGTCGGAGAAATAAGAGGTAGGAGATGACAACTTTATTCTTTTTACTAAGCAGGAACTGCGATGATGCGAACGAAGAATGCTTGGGGAAATTTATTAAAGAAATACATTTTCGTCACAAATCACAATTCAGGTGATAGATAGGTGATTAACTTTGGCTTCGAGAAAAGGATGCATCAACTTCTCCTGCAATATGTATAAATTTTTCTAACTAAATTTGTTAGATTTCTTAATCGCAACTGTGGGGTTTTAATGTGTATGTCAAATAAAATATGTAAAGTTAAAGGAGAAAAGAGGAAGTTGAGGGCAAGTGAAGATTGTATTTTGAAAGGGTCTACGACCAATCACCTTATCTTGCCATATTTCAATGGAAATATTTTGAAATTTTTACTGCCGCATAGCTGGTTGATCTCTAATTTTCTCTGACTTGATATTCATCGGCAGGTAGAGTGCCTGCAGGTGGAGGAAGTAAGCATATGATCCTGCTGTTATATATCATAACTTTCCTGGAGTGGGCTTCATTTGTGCTACTGGTGTATATCATTTTAAAACTACGTCTTTTTAGCACTAATTTCGAACTTGGTGCGATTACTGTGGATCCTGGATCATCAGCGTATAATCCACGTCCAATGATTGAATATTGTCGTTCATTGAATATTGATTATTTTTATGAGGAGCAGGGTAATTTTTATTTCCAAAATCTCCTTGTTTGTTATATCTCTATTTTCAGATATAATTGGGCATGCTAGAAAGATAGAGAATTTGCGCTCCATATGCGCTTACTGTAGCAGAATGAAAAGAGGAAGATTAGCTGCTGCAGCTCATCTTCACGGATGGAACGTACTAGCCATGGGTCAACATCTCGATGACATAGTGGAAAGGTGAGTCTCAATGCGTACACCTCATATCAAAACAATAATCCAATCAGCCTCATCCATTCGTATTATGGAAATATTCGAAAATTTTTCATAAACAAATATAGAAGTTTCGTTTCGGAAATATTCGATAGAGAGTATAATATTCAAATTGCCTTTTCAAAATATTCATATAGCGACTCGAGGCTCGCTGAAAAAGTGAATCAGGACAGTCATTGCATGGCTAGATAAACGAAGCGGTGATATGGCGCCTAACTTTCTCTCGTTGACAGAGTTCAACGCCCTCGCTTAAGTATGGATGACGAGTTCGACCAGCCGCCTGTATAGAATTGGGGTGAATGAAGTGGAAGAGAGTCGTCGTCGTAGCGCGTCTAAGCAGTCTCTTTAAGTTTAAGCGTAGCCAGTAGATTTTTTAAAGGACATGGCCGTATCTGAACTCACTCTTGCTCATGAGAAAGTGCCATGCAGGTGGAGTGGGGAGAGGGGAGATAGAAGCATAGGTCAGACACATAGAGCCAGCCAGCTCTGGTCACCTTCACTAATGAGCGAAGTAAGAATAGGAACCACATCTAAG